CCCCCCCCCGACTTACACACACAACAACAAGACAACACAAGGGAATACAGTCGGAGATCGGCAGCGTTAGGAGAATAACACCGAAAAATTTTCACAACAATGGGAAAAGTACAAGAGGAAAAAGAGAGACCTCTTCACACGCTGGGCAACCTATGGGAGGACAGCATGAGAACAGGAAACAAAAAAAACTCCTCTGCACAGAGAGCACATTAATGTCCACATCACAACATCAGAGCACATGACAAGCCACAGGGGATGGATAGGGGGATGGGGGGTGATTCGAAGGAATCACTTCCTTATTGGGTTGTCCTTGTAGCACAAAAGGTTGTTTCAGATATCATGATAAATGATTAATATAATGATTGAAAGGGTTGTTTTTTTTGAGTAGCTTCTTTTCTAAACCCTTCTTAACTTGTATGGACTTTCAAACCAGTACACGTAGTGGCTTTAAAAATTAGACACACCAAAACCAGTATTTAGCCTGTTACATTACCTTTATATAAAATGCACCCTGTACTTTTAGCACAGTAATATCGAAGTTAAACATACTTTTGCAATACTTTTCCTAAAGCTAAAAGGACTAGCTACTATTAACTATTTTCATAAGACAACAAATCAGCTATCAAACGACCTCCTATAGTTCTTTAAGTATAATTTTCATGTAAAATCAATCTGCAGGAGTTGGGTAACTGTTATCTGAAGTACTGTCATGAGATGGCCAAACTTGCTCTGTTTGTGGCTCTGGTGTGTGGGGGACAAAAAAGAAAGGGGCAGGGTGTGTGTGTGGTTTGGGGCGAGGACTCTTGACATTAAAAATAGTCTTGTGTCCACCAGGTACCTCTTAGTAACTGCTTGTGTCGGCAGAGGTTCGTGGGAAGATTTGTTAGTCATACCGTTTACATTTGCTTTTTGAAGCTACTGCTAAGTAGCCAGTTGAAGTCAACTTACAATTTATTTTTAATTCACATTGTAGTATTTAACAGTTAAAAAACCCAAACAATCTGCATCGGGCTGCAGATATGTGTGTTCACAATGTTACACCTTTCCATTTGTTAAGTTGTTCTTGTCCTCTATTGACTTAGTTATATTTGAGTTGTGAGACGTCTAATATGTCTGTAGTATGAGACCTGTTGTATACAGGGTGTATCGGAAGAACCACCCAATTTCAAAAGGCTATATTTGTTTAAGTAATAGACATAGAACTTTGTAGTAAAGTTTTAAATACATGGCTGAATAAAAAGCTTTACTTACGATGTTCACAAGTGCTCGATGTGTCTCCCTCCGGATGCATAACATACATCCATATGATAATCAAACTCATCCTATACTTTTGCGAGCATGTCTGGAGGCATGGCAGCCTCTAGCAATTACGCAAAGCTCTCAAATCCACTCTTTCTAACAGTACGTCTTTTGATTATTACTGCTGAACAGCTGCGAAATTGAAGTACTTTGAAACTGAATGGTTCTTTTTGAGGTGCTTTGTACCCTTCAGTAGATATTCCACTTCATTCAACCTAAACTAATAGGTACAAGCTATCTGGACAGGCTAATTCAGTTGCATTTTATTGTATTATAAACAACTAATGGTTCTCAAACAACCAAAACTTTTTGAATACCTTCTACTCAGCTGCTACCCTTGTTGTAAATGTGTCGTGACCTTTCCCATCTTGAGGGAGGGCTCCCCTGAACATCTAAAGGCACAGCTGTGAGTGGAGGTTCCTGGTGGAGACTAAGCCTCAATAATGGACTGCATTGACTTGTCACTGTGACTCACTCCGATCTCTGCAGCGGTGCTTTCTTTGCCTGCTAGAAGCCCCGCTGCCAGTTCTATCCGAGCGGCGAAAGAGGGCACCGACTTTTAACGAAATAAAATACCCACTCAAATCCCCTTTTCGACTCGCATAGAACGGTATCTTAATAGCAAGTAACTAAACTAAATAACACCTCCTCCAACCCTCCCCTTCCCTAACCTTTCTCCCTGCCTTCCTCCCTTCCCTCCTCTTCTCTCCACTAACGTTACAATATATCAAACTAGAAGCCACGTAACACACCCCCTCTTTCTCTCTCGTTCTCTTTCCTTCTCTTTTTCTCTCACCACAGCAACCACATATCCACAGTGATCAAAACAATAACCTCTGTGTATTTGTTTCCCCCCCTCTTCCTTTCCTTTGTCGGTTTCTTTTTATTTCTCCTCATGTCTCCCCCGAACACACCTCTGTCTGTCTGTCTCCGTCCTTCCCTCTTAATCCTCCTCTTCCTCCCTCCCCCCATTGTTTTTCTTTCTTACGTTTTTACGTCGTCCGTCTTTGTTTTGTCTGGTGTGGGTGTGTTGGCGTATGGGGTGTTGGATGCATGTGCATATATGGTGCACGTGTGTGTGTTTGTGTGTGCGTGTGTGTATGTGTGTTCGTGGCCACTCCAGCGGCCGGATCAGTTACACAGACATGTATCAGATGCTAAGACACATGTGTCCGCCGCTAGGCCTCGGGAAGAGGTGTCCCGCCCGGGTCGCCTATAAGGTAGACTCGCCCCCCACCTTACCCCTCCACCCCCCCTCAGCCACCACCCTCACCTCCTCCTCTCCCTCCCCTCTCCCATCATTCATTTCTTCCTCCTTTTCCCCATCCATAAAGTCTCCGTTCTTCAGCCTCCCCATCGCTGGGGAAGAGAACCTCTTCTCTTTCATTTGCTCAAGCCTCCCTGTCCCTTTTCCTCCTCCTCCTTCTTACCCACTCTCCTCCACCTCCCTCCCTTCTTCCCTCCCTCCTCCCAGCGGTGTTCTCCTCATTGTCTGTTAGTGGTGGTTGTGGTGGTGGTGAGCGCTGTCCTCTCTTCTTTCTCTCCGACCGCGGGGATGGAGGGATGGGCTTTTGTCGTGAAGTGCAGTGATAGTGGATTGGTAGTCAGTCCTCTTTCTTTGATTTCCTCCCGTCAAGCCACAGGAGTAAGGGAACGGAGGAGGCTTTGCCAGTCCTTCTGCAACCTGCACGGACGCAAGCAAAACACAGTTAAAGCACAGGTGTAACTTAGAAAGTAAGAAAACTTTCAGACGTCCATGTGTTTTTAGATTGGTGTAAGTAAGTCCACTAAATATTAATGACTACTTTCAGTTTTCATTTATTTATAGCCTATTTTGTTCTGAAATATTCAAACTTAAGAAAAAAATTGTTTTAAAATATATACATCTACTTAATCTACATTTATTCATTATTTATTGCAGGTTTGCATTTTAAAATTATGTCCTATAAAATGCTTATAGAAATTTTTAGTGCAGTGAAATCATGCTTGAAAAATTGTGAAAAATACATAATTTCCACACGCCATTGATTTATTTCAGGAAACATATACAAGCAACACTTAAATTGAGATAATTTTATTAAGGGTTTTGTTCACGCAGTGCAATATTTGCTTACGATGCGGGTACAGAAGGACCGGCAGTGGTTTCTGTCTTCAAACCTCTGTGCCTCTTATTCCTGTGGATGGCTCTATTATTCTGTGTATTATATACACGCACACACACATTACCATACACATATACAATGCTTATACAAACATGTTCTGGCCCTTGTAGTTTTTTTCCTCATTTTTCAAGATGATTTTTTGACATTCAAGCATCTCTGGCTTCTTTGTTCCTCAGACCACCAGTGTAGAGATTTGGATTGAGCATTTCAGCATTCACTGTCTCTTCGTCTTATTGTCTACTCTCTCTTTACACCTCAGCTGAGTCCTTCTCAACCTGTCCTTCTTCTTATTGCCATCCAGATTCACTAAAACACTGTTGACAAGATGGTTTGGTGCTTTTTGTGCTTCAACCAGGAGGGAAGTGATTTCTCTGATTATTTATTTTTTTAAATGACATCTAATTAAGCTTTTTTTTTTTATTAAAATCAGGAAATATGTTACTTACACCTAGAAATTCAGCAGCAGCTCAAAGGGTTTTGTGGTTCACTTTTCACAGAAAATTCATGTCAATTTTTTATTCAGTTTTATTCAATTTATTTGTCGTGAGGACTGAGAAGAAGGGAGACGAAACAAAGCTACTCACAAGTGAGTAGGTTGTAAAATACACTACTGGAAAATTATTAATAATGACTGTGTTCCCTTTTTGGTGAACCACACTATAGTTATTGAAATGTTATACTCTTTAAAAATAGTAATATTTATGGTCACGGTCTTCTTCGTAGGATTGACATGAAAGGATCTAATCTCTAACATGCGATGGTGTTGGTTGAAAAAAGAAATTAGAAACATGCTGCTTACCTGAAGCAGGAGCTCAGAAATAGTAGCTCAGAAAGTTGGGAATCGATAGCTACAGTGTATCCAGAAAGTACTGACAGTACTTCACTATTTCCAGCTTTTATAATGTTACAACTTTATTCCAAAATGGTTTAAATGTCTTTTATTACCTCAAAATTCTACTTTACTTTGATTTTTTGCAAAGTTATTACAAATATGTTAATTATTTGAAGAATTAAAAAAAAGTCCCTTAAAATTATTTCCCAAGAAACAACAGTCACTAATTCACGCAAATACTTAATGAATTGGCCAGCTCTGTTTAGCCAGCACCAAATTAGATCTGCCTGCTCCTGTAATGAGCTACACCTGATATGACTCCTAAAGTCAATTATCTGTACGTGCAGTCGATCCACTTATCTCCAAATATCTGTGTGTACAGTAGCCTCCCATTTATTATATGTGGTGAGTGAAAAGCAGTAATTTTAACAATTATTAGAAAATCTCCAGTGTTACTCATTTCTGTTGAATCTGGATGTCAGTAATCTTTGTACTATCCATTTGCCTCTCTCATTCTTCCTTTTCCTCTGTTTTCCTCTTCTCTCCACTGACCTTCTGCCTGCCAGCCATCCTTTCCCTCACATTCTTCTACATCCACTTGTCTGTCACCAATTAGGAGCCATCTTCACTCCTTCATTACATCCCTCTGTCAAGCCCACTCTGTCTCCACTTTACCTCTCCTTCCTGTTCTTTCTCTTGGTTTCCTCTCCAGTATGTCAAACTGTCTTGGCACTAGCACCCATCACATACTTCAGCCATCAGAACCTTCCAGTATTCATTTACACAAATCCGACAAAAAGAAGTCAATTAAAGAACCTTGTGATATGAGAAACAGTTAATGAATAAAGAGGGGAAGGTTTACATTGCCCTTAATATTTAGGCAAAGTTCTTGATCTTCACTTTAGTGGACACAAAGCCCTTTACTCAAAGTAAAAAAAGAAAAAGCTGTTAAATGTGTATTGCTACGACAGATTGTCTCTTTTGAACTGACCTCTGTCAGTGTTGTTTTTAGTCTTCGTCTTTATCTTTTGTCGTGTTCTGTAATTTTCAGCCTCTCTTTTCTCTTTTCTATCTACACACACACTCTCAGTTCTCCTCTCAGTTTAAATCACACTGACTCACGTTCTCTTGATTCCTCTTTTACTCTTTCAGTGTTTTCACAACCCTCCTCTCCCTGCTCATTCTCACCTTTACCTTTTTATCTGTAACTACATCTCATGACCAAGCTTAGAGTTGACTAGTTTAGCCCGACTAACTGTTATCCCTGCCATGTGTCCCCTTTGATACGCCCCGGTCCCCTTACCCTACAGCTCTATTACCACAAAGTCTGGTTGGTCCAAAACCAAAAAAATAAATAAAATAAACAGAAAAAACAGAACTTCAATCATCTGTTTTTTAAACTTCTATATGATTTTTTTCTTCTTTCAGGGAATGCCACAACTCTAATCCTCTCTAACTCTTACACCCCCTTAAGACACTGCACCCGTCTGGCATTGAGAGAGATCTTGACTTGATACGAAGTAACACCTTGCTGTCCAATTTGACTTTAGGGCAGCCATGAATGTAAAAAGTAGAAGGAGAAAACAAAAGAAGAATCCAAAAAGTGTGAAATTACCTGTCAATCAGTAGGATCAATCCGATTGGATTGAGGATACTCTCTTTGCGCGGATGCACGGCTGCTTGTATTGTAAAAGTGGGTTTTAAGGGAAGTCATGGGGAGTAGTGGGCTGGGTGGGAAGAGTTTGGGCTTAGATAGTGGGAGTGAAGTAAATGCATGTTGCATGCTGTGTCCGGGTTTGTTGGATTTTTTGATGGGGTGTTGCATGAAATCCTCTTTGTCGCATGGCTATGGGCGACATCGAGCCTGCCTGCCTGTTGCCTGTCGAGCGCTGTGGATGTTGGCCGATGCCCTCTGCCTGCTGCACACTTGGCTTTGGGCATGCCCGACACTTGCACACACTCAGGAACACAAGAGCACGTACACAACTCCACCGCCATCGTACTACCGTGCTTGCCATCGTGAGTGCCCAACGCTCATGTTCGTAGGTAAATCTGATGGATGTTAACTGGTCAAGATAGGAACGGCAAGCGACCCCAGCTGGCCTAGCTTGTTCAGTTCTATCTGCAGGTTTCTCCATTGGTTTTACCTGGTATAGACATGTAAAGACAGGGAACCTCTTTAGAGGTAGGGGGAGCTCTATAGCAGTTGCCTCAGTTAAACAAAACCACAGCAGTCTCCTGAAAAATAGCAGAATTACACCAGTGATACTGTTATTGTTCTTCAGTCAACTTATTTTGTCTCTAAAGGACTCCAATTAAGCACTCTTAATTGGAGTCTGTGCAAATAATTGTGTGTAAGTGTAGAGGGAAGGGATGATTGTTGGGGTAGGGTGGGGGGTGGGGGGGTCGGGTCTGTGTATGTGTACTGTTATATCTATCTATATGTGTGTAACAACAGAGATGTGTAAATGCACCCATGCATTCACACATTTAGGGAACATGGGCACAGGTTGGGTCGGAGGCCATTTCGGCTCCGATTGTTCTTCCTTGTGGTTCTCAGCTCTCACAGTTGCTTAGCAGCAGATGGCCCTCATTGGATATAGCTGTGCTGTTTCGTAGAGTATCACTGGAAAAAAAAGAAACAGGAGACACTGGAACTCGACTATTCAACATTCTGTCATCACGTAAATGCTCTTGCACTTGCCAATGCAAAAAATTAGCAAAGCTGTGCAACAGACTTAACCCACGAATTCTCAAGAGTCACTCTATATGGCACACGTTTATCAGAGGATTCACTGACTCTACACCCAGGCATCTGTGCCTTAATTCTAATCTCTCTCAGGGAATATTGACTAAAACCTGGGCAAATCCGGTCCAGCTGGAATTGGCTGTAGTCTATGGAGCTCTCTCAACCCTGCCCCCAACCCCTCATCCCCTCCCCTTCCTGGAGGTTCAGGCACACCACAGTTCAGCAGGGACACATCCCTTTCTCATCCTCTCATCCCTGACTGGCTTTCCACAGAGGCTGCTGCGCATGGATCTACCGGTTGCTGATGACAGCACGGTGCATTTTAACTCCACGCTCATGGCTCTGATAAGGACAGCACTGGACATAAAGATTGCTAAGGGTATGGTATGAAGTACTGTGACACTTTGAGTCTCTTTCTTCACAGTTTCTGTCTCTTTCTCTTGAGAAGTATGTTTTAGATTATTGTAGCAAATATGACAAAATGCTAACAAATCACTTTTTTGTTTTTGGGTGAATGTTTGGATGCCTGAATGGATAAATATATTTCTTTTTGGATTTCATGCCATTGTGCCTCTCTTTTGGTCGGTACCTTGCTCTTTTTGTGTCTGGGGGCTCTTCACGTGTGGTCGGACGTCTCCATGTGTCTACAAATGTTCAATGTGTGTGCATGGACGCTTTTGGTACATGCTACCCAGGTGGTGCAGATAAGCACCAGATGGATGCAGAGCTTAGAAAGGAGATGATGGCTATCTGGCCCAACCTATCGCAGAAGACACTGGACTTGCTGGTTACCCCTCACAAGGGTAAGTTGTAGGAAAACAGCACAAAGTGGTGTGTGTGTGTCCGATCACCAACTCACCAAGAGGAAAGCTTCTACCAGCCAGTGTCATTCACTGCTTTGCATCTCCTGATCGGGGAACAACAACAAAAAACACACACATTAACAGTACTTACACACATGCATAGATTTACAAATGTAAATTCTTTGCAAATGTTGCTCCAATACTTTGGGCCAGAGCAAAATAGTACATGCATAAAGCCAGACTAATATCATCAATTGGGCGGTAAATTTAGATGGATGATGCCTCTTTGTCACACCGTGTCATTTGTGTTCAAGGTCAGTTATTTAATGAATCCAAATCCAGTTAACTTTACACTTTAGAAGTTTTCAAGGTTACTTCAAAGCCTTCACTGTACATGAGGTTGGGTCAAAATTTAGCACTTAATCAAGTTGAATAATTTTAACTCCAGGTCCAGGAGAGAATAATTTGTGGCACTAAATCATTTGGTAACTGGGAAGTTTTACTTGTTTTCTGATCATTCACTGGGGAAAACTTCAAAATTGGGCATTTTGGATAAACTTGGTTAAAATGTTAACACAAAAGGTCTCCTTTTTACCTCCTTGTAGGATTCTGTGTACATTTTCTACAGGACGACCAAAGTAAAAGTGTTGGACTATAATGACTAGCTCCAAAAAATTAGTATGTCGTCATCAACAACACCTCATACTAGCTGTCAAGCATGGTGGTGGAGTGATGATTTGGGATTGTTTTACAGCAATGGGACCTGGGCACCTTGCACTCATTCAGTCCACCATGAACTCATTCAAATGTGAGGCTGTGTCTCCCACAGCTAAAGCTTGGCCCAACATACAGCAGGTCAGTGATTCCAAGCACAGAAACAAATCTACAATAGAAAAAGAAAAAGATCAAGGTGCTGCAATGAAGTCCAGACTGCAACCTGATTAAAATGCTGTGGAGAGTTAAATGAATGCCTGCAGACTTCAGTGAACAAAAGCAACAGTGGGCCAAAATTCCTCCAGAACAATGTGAAAAACTGATTACTTGTACTTCGTCCTTGTGTTTTGGTATCAGGCTCAGCTTCTAGCTGTAACTCCTGTGTCACTGTAATCTGCTAATATAGCTTATGGCTCTGAAATGGAAGAGCATCATTAGTGCTCACATGTTCCATAATATAGTCTGGGCATATCACATTGATCAGATAAATTTAGTCCTGAAGATGGCTTTTGTTGTGAGTTGAATACGCAGAGGTTATCTCATAAAGACACAAGGGCTCAAATTCAGCAAACTAAGGGACCAACGTTTTGACTCACCCTCATGTAGTTGAAAAAGTGTTTATAGTAAAGTAAAATTTGATATGCCTTCACTAACTATACTTAAGTGATTGTACATAAAAAAGGTGGGAACTTTATTCAGCTTTCATTGATTTTAAATGGGATTACCCTTCAGATAACATGTACAGATACAGCATACCATACTTAGATTCACATGGGCACACAGACACATCACATAAGAGTAGAAACAGCAGGACACAAACCCACACCATGAAACTATCCACCCATTCAGTCATTCCTGTTATCAGGAGGTGCCTACTATAGAAGATCCTCTATAGAAGTCTTTTCACTACAGGAAGACTTTAGGATTAAACCTTTATACAAATGTAATGAATGTAAAGCCTGATTGGTTAAAAATAAGTTTATGAAAATGCATATAGTGCATGTTTACTTCTTAGTACTTGCATGGAATTGATTGAGATATAAGATATGTGTGGTCATATCTTATCACACATTAATATCAGTTTTAATGCTCGAAGACTTTTAGCCACGCCACTTTGAAAAGGGCGCCACAAGTATGCGGTGTAATCTAGTAATTCACATTGTTCACAGACAGTCGAAACAAAGCTCAATATTTTTCTGATTTTAAGTATTTATGTGTTTCACCCAAACTCTGGGGATATGTATCCGGAGTTTTTGGAAAAAAATTGAGCTCCTTTTTTTCTCAGGGATCACTTGGCTGTGGTGTCCACGTTTCTTAATGAGGTGGCTGCCTAGTCCTAAGCCTTCATATTAATCTATAAGGAATTTCTTTTCCTTGTATGATAAGATGATAGCGAAATAATAAGAGCATGTCCTTTGAAAAGATATAAGAACAGCATCTGCCTGTGAAAAGACTACCAGCTTTGTTACTGTACTGTGTTGTGATATCGTATATGCCTGTAGTACACCAGCAAGTGAGCTTAACCTTGTTTCAGTTAAGGCTTCATTCGGGAATGTTTGCACAGTGGTTACTGATATTCTTCAAAAAAACAAAAAAAATTATTCGTTTGTTGAATGTTAAGTATTTTGATGAAGTAATACAGGTTCTTATTTGCCCTTAGAAAGTGCAATATAATTTTTTTTAAACATGACAAGCTACAGTGTTCATGAGCAAGAAATAATTTAAGAACTGCCAGAAATGCTCCTTTAACATTTAAAGGTATTTGCTATGTGAACTTTCAGACTGTGTGCTTGCTCATAAATTTCTCCCAAGAATTCATTTGTTTTCATATTTGCCGGGATGGCTTTGTTCTGGGATCCTCCCACCCTGTAAAACGCATATGTGGAAATCCTAAGGTGGGAAGAACGCCAGTAAAATCGAGAGCAGACATCATTGATAACAAACATGACATTGATTAAGTCATAATGGAATGAAATGTAGAAGCTGGTGTGGAGGTGGGTTGCAAATCGGCTTGCAGTGGCAGCAGTAACTGTGTGCAGACTGAAGCAGTTTAAATAGATTTGGTCCCTATTCTCCCAAAAAGAGCTCAAACTGTCCCACTGACATTCTGAAATGTATGAAAGCGGTCATGATACAACTCTTGGCTCAAACCATGAAATTGTCCCTGCTGCTGCCTTCTTGAGAAAAACGTCATCGCTCGATGATACGGGGACGTGCCCATCAGTCTAGAACAGGGTAAATCTGGGCTCATCAGACCACATTACCTTCTTTTATTGGTCCAGAGTCAAGTGTTTATGCTTCCTAGCAAAACCCAAAGCTTTCCAGTTGCTTAAATGGTTGGTAAACTTTTAATGTATTTAATTTATATATTTGATTTATTTATCCACATACCAAAACTGCTGAAACTAAAGTTTTTCTTTGCTCAGAAGTATCAGTAACCTCTGATCAAATATTCTCGGCATGTACCTCTGTCAGCTAAAGCTAGGAGCTCCTCAGCTCAGAAAAAGCAAATGCTGAGTATTTTGTTGACGTTACAGTTTTATTTATTTGTTAATGCTAAGCTAGGATGTCCAGCTGCTGGTGGATTATGCATGTTGTGTATTTCTCTGTCAGTGTTTGTGTCTTGTCCCCCACTCCCATCCCTCCCCCATGGCTCAGGGTCCCATCACACTCGGGTCTAATCTTGCAGGGTAACTTGTCATTTTCTCAGCAGCCACAGACTTGACGGTGGGCAAAATCTACGCTGCCATGATGATCATGGAGTACTACCGGCAGAGCAAGACGAAAAAGCTGCAGGCCCTGCGAGAGGAACAGGTAGACTCCAAGCCAGAGAAATATTCCAAATACCGAAAGACTTTTTTCTTTTTGTGTTCCTCCTCCTGGTCGTCTCTTGTTTGCCGTTCTTCTGCCAGATATGGATTTAAAAGAATAAGAAACATGTCTTATACATTTAAATCCTGTGCTGACTCCCAGCTACACTTCTGAGCACAGCTTACCTCCCTCTTGCACTGTACCGTCTCTTTAGCATGCTTCTAAAAATCTGCATACTTTTTCTAGTACCTTCTTGCTTTCTTGGCTAACCAAGAGATCAAGAAGCCTATTATTTTACAAAGCTTGCTAAAAGGGTTATTTTATATAATCTTTTACAGACAGTTAGCAACTTGACCCTCCCCCACACTTTCACTTGTTTTGTTTGTTTTGTATCATGGATAATTTGAGCATGGTAAGGAGGATAAAGCATAACCAAAGGTTAAACTAAGGGTTTTGTTGCTTGTAATCTTCTGAACAGTGATGATGATGATGATGATGATACCACATGGCCTTACCTTTGTTCCTTGTCAGTGCTCGTCCCCTTGTGTCAATGAATGCCTTTAAGATGCACTCGCTTGTGTGGAAACATCTCTCCACTTGTGCAATCGCTCCTAGATTTGCCCATGAAATGGTGTCAGGCTCATTCTTACTGACTCAGATGCATGTCTTGTCTCCAGATTTCCATTTTGTTGAATGAAGGAGTGCATTGGTGAATGGAGAGTATGTTGTTCCTTTCTCTTACCAACACTACATCATGTCAAAAACAGCGTGTGTCCTGAATGCAGGCTATCCCATCGGACTGAACGGACAGTTCGACACCAGCTCTCTCAACATCAGCAGTGCACGATGACTTTAACCATCTCGTCATCTCTACTTTATCTCGCCACTGCTTTCCTCTTTTCTGCTGCAGTCTTTGTTTTCATATTACCGTGCTGCTTTGAAGGAAGAATCCACCCACAATCTTCACGTGTATATTTAGAGAAGGCTTTTTTTTTTCTGTAGCATCAGGTTTGGATACCCAGTAGGGTTGGGCATTTGGTTTCACTTTTCAGTCATCCTATCATCCCCCTGCGGCATTACCCATAGCATTGCCACTGGGATCCTGCCGTTAAAGTAACACTATCCACCCTCTGTAATGTGCAATGTGTGGCCAATGCACACACAATAAAGGCACACAAGTGAAAAAGAAACACACGTGCCAGAAGTTAATTTTTCACATCCAGCATGATGGAACATTTTCGCATTTACATAGAACGCTGATTTCTTCAGCAAACAGTAATTAGTGAACAGAACTGCCTGGATGTGGCTTTTCAGATTTAAGTGCTCCCTAGTGAAAGCTGCTTTCCTTAGTTTCTGAGCCAACAAGCCCACTTTTGGTTAACCCTCTAAGGCAGAGGTATAGAACTCCAGGCCTCTAGAGCTGGTGTTCTGCAGGTTTTAGACGTGTCCTTGATCCAACACAGCTGATTTAAATGGCTAAATTATCTCCTCAACTTGTCTTGAAGTTCTCCAGAGGCTGGTAATGAACTAATCATTTGATTCAGGTGTTTTGACCCAGACTGAGATGTAAAACCTGCAGGACACCCGCTCTCGAGGCCTGGAGTTCCCTACCTCTGCTCTAAGGTCTAGCAGCACTGTACAATGAAAATGTGTGATCTTTGGGCTTTTGCAAAATGTTCTCCAAAGTCTTGAGGGGTTTTTTCTTCAAAACATATGGTTAATGGTTAAGGTTACTTAACGTCAGTGATATCTTTGACCTCATCTAGATGCTGTACCTGTCGATCTATGTTCCCACCCTCACTTATGGCCACAAGCTGTGGTTAGTGACCCTGAAGAATGAGGTTGCACACACAGGCAGAGTACAGGTGCTGCTCCTCCACATTGAAAGGAGGCAGTTGAGGCAGAATGCTTCCTGATGGGTCCTCAGTGAGGCGTTCGGGTCGTGACGGCTTCCTGTTGTTGCTCAGACCCCAAATCAGAAAGAGAAAATAAGTAAAATTGACAAATATTTATTTTAGACCTAAAATGACTAATAAAAGAAGCTAAGGGTGGCTCCTTTCTTTAACAACTCATCTGTTTACCTCTTTGCCTCCATTCATTCCTGCTGTGCACATGTCAAGTGTGAAATGTCTTAGTCATTGTTTGTTATCGTTGTCTGTCAGTATTTTGTTGTTTTGTCTTTGTTGGCTACTTTGTTTCCTTGCCATGGATGTTGTCTGATGTCCCTTGTGCCCATCCTCCATGCCATCTGTGTCCTTCTGTCTTCTATTTATCCTTCCAGGAAGCTAGAGACTTTGACCTGTCAAGCTCTCCCTATTTGGTCAATCCAGGTTGATTGCCACCACGTTTCTCTAACCGAGACCCATTCTCTTCAGCCTGTGTTTCTTTGAATCTGCCTGCTCCCTTCTCTGTCTGCGGGGACGTTGAGGGAAGATTCCTGAGACCAGTGTCTCCCTGTGTAATCATTCTGTCATGGAAGCATTCATTCATACACACACAACTGCAGAAACATACTCAGTTGGAGCCAGAGGTGTTCAGTGTTTCTCTGTTTGTCATTATCCTATCCATCTAAACATTTCTACCATGAGTTTTGTCAGGATCCATCAGTGGCTCTGGTGCTAGAACAAAACTGTTCAGAGACAAACTTAAACAGTTTTTCTCCTTGACACTGGAAAAGACAGTTGGACAGGATCAAAAAACGTATGGCTTTTTTTTAAAGTGATATCTTTGTGACTTCATTCGTGAGAACAAACAGAAGTCATATCGGTTGTCTCTGTGTCTGACACAATCAGTATGACGTGTGTCCTGTGGCGAGCTTAGATAATGTCAGCATTTTTAAGCAGCTAACCAAAGCTGGCCATTATTAATGGTGCACATTGTAGCCGGACTTCCTGTCCAACAGATCAGCCTGATGTGTCTGAAGAGGTTTGAATTTGTTTCTGAGCAGCTCTTCAGTCATTTATCCTCCGGCCTTTAGCTTCCAGACCATGGAGGGACATGACATGGGCTCTCGCAGTCATGAACCATCAACGCTAAGCCACTCCAGAGAGGACTCTGTTGAAACAGGATCTCCTGAGAGTAAAACGGCTTGACCTTTGACCTGTCTGATGGAAGCAGAAGTTGCTTTTTAATACTGCTGGTTTAGGATCAGATTACTACTTCTCTTGAAATGGCATGTTACTCAAAACAACTTGGCAGATCAGTATATGATTTTTGAGTAAAATGTCTCTATATAGATATACTTTGTGAGTATGAGAACCTGGTCCAAGACCTGAGATTTAAGAGCAATCTTACCTCAAGGTAAAAGCTCCCCTCTGACACAGATCTGAGATCAGTTTTGCTACCCTGAATCTCTACCCAACATATCAGAGTTAACAGTGTCCCTTTAACACTTTCTGGGTAGCAAGCAGACTCCAGATCAAGTAGTCTTTGGGGAAACTTTACCTTGGATACCCACAGCCATGTGCTTGCTGATGGCGCCCCCGTGTGGGTGCATGCTGCGAGTGCATCCTGTGTTTGTGTCCTGTGTCTGCCCCCCTGAGTGTGCCTGATGCAAGCCTGCAGGCCATGTCGTGTATCTCACACAGAACCGAACGCCATTAATGTTTCAGCGCATGGAGCCGCCCTCTGAGGGAGGCGGCACGGACGGCCAGGGAGGCCAGGGCCAGAACGGCCTCTCCAGCACGCAGCTAGACAACATCAACAGCATGTGAGTAGAAAACGGGGGAAGCCCCTACACACTGCAATGAGGCGCTTCAGACAGAAACGTCCAGTACAAATACATTAAGCATACAGTCGCATCCACACTGTAGATCAATTCAAAAAATCTGTTTGTTTGTTTTTTATTTTCCCCCCTTTTGTGCCAGTTCCATTCCAGCTAATGCCTTTAACACTGATTGTGAGCTATAGTGAGCTGAAAGGAAAGGTTTGAAAGTAAAAACAAGCAAAATGTGCTTCTTCTTTTTTTTTTTTGACCAGACCTTTTACAGCTGTTTATGCCTTATTACAGTTTTTGTACATTTTTCACTATAATATTTTAGGAGCCATATTTAGAATATAAGGCATCATGTGACTTCTTGAAGGTTATCAAAACTCTTATTTAGTTTGGTCTCCTTATTTAAACTTTGAAAGATATTGATTATAAAACATGCCACAGTTAGGATGCTTCAAAGTTTGCTGGAATTCTGATAACTTTATCATTATTCTCTTATTAAAGACTTATTAAAGTCTTTGCAGAGAAAGATGGTGCCACTAGCTCGCACCAGCTCATCCACAGCACCTCAGCTGAATCTCATGCTTCTCTTTTTTTAAATCATATCATCACATCAAACAAAATAATATACTGATGTTTTACTGTGATTGAGAAGTTTGAGGTAAAGAAACCCTAATCCTTAAAACAAACCTCTGACAAATATACACTGTGATCTCTGTAACATAGTTATTTTTCAGTTAATTATGATATTAGTTTTTCCTCAAGTGTAGATTAAAATGTAATTTTGTTTTCATTTTCATTTCCAAACCTTTGATTTTAAATGTAGTGTAAACATAAATCAGATCAGATACAGAAAAAGTACAAGTGCTGTTTATCAAGACATGAGTATAAGGTCTTGATGCCAGGTCTCTCTTGGAAATGAGATTTTTAATCTCAATGAGATTTTTTACCTGGATAAATAAAGGATTAATAAATAAGCAACAATATGATAATTATAGTATCTGTAATCATGTTACCATGCTAAGATTAAAATTAAGCTTGAAGTACAGCTCCTGTTTAGACGGACTCTATAAATCAGTAAACAGGTCAATAGTAGCCGACATATTGATCCCACTCTAAATTAATTCCTTGGTCTTCTGCAAATTCGGTGTTGTTGCATTAAGGATTACTGAAAAATTACAGTATCCCTAGCATTCCAATAATATTCATATTTATGTTTGTGTGTGTGTGTGTGGGTGCCAGACCTCCTGAGGGTGGCATGACTGAGAGCCAGTCATGGGTGACGGCCAAAGCCCAGGAAATGTTCCAAAAGACGGGTAACTGGAGCCCGGACAGACCCTACCCCGACGACCTCCACGACAACCGTCACAACCCCCAGGTATAATGACACCGAACATGCATGTTGTCACCGTGGTAACATCAGTCTAAACCCAACCAGTCCCTGCTTCCACACTGGTCTAGTAATATCTGTGGACATAATAGAGAAGGGAAGAAACTGCAATCCCAACTCAACAACCTACTTCTGCAGGGTTTTTCAGTTTGTGTAGCTACTCAGTGACCCTACTTGCTATTACGTTTTTCTAAAGCATCTAACATGTAAAACTTCCTGCTAAATAAATACAGTTCAAAACATTTCAGAGGGTTTTTCTCCACTTCAGTGTCCGCTGCTAATTCAAAGCTGAAACGATCTTATATTAACCTGTAAAAATGTTCAGAGCTCTACATTGTAAAGTGAAAAGCGCAGCTTTCTAAAGAGAGCAGTTAAAGACAGGTAAGGTGTGTCATTAACCTCCTGGTTTCCTTTGCTCCTTGGCGAGCATTTTATTTAGAAATGTCTTTTTGTAATTATCTAAGCACTAGGGGTGCAACGATACACAAAATTCACGGTTCGGTTCGGTTCGATACTTTGGTGTCACGGTTCGATATTTTTTCGATACAAAAAAATGTTCA